TTTTTTTTTTTTTTTTTTTTTTTTTTTTTTTTTTTTTTTTTTTTTTTTTTGCTAGTTGTAGACTAGTTTGCGAGATGCGTATTGTTGAAAGAGAGATGAGAGCTACAAAGAAAACCTCGAACTTATATTAATCGTGGATTGAGAACGAGAATTGAATTTTCTAAAACCGAATTTACTATTGCTCCTTAATAACTTAGTGGCAGAGCGGTCGACAAAAATTTCAAATTAAATAATCTAATAGATATTTTTTAAAAGTTTACGCCATTTACTGAAAATAATTAAGAGAGAACACATAATTGTTAATCTATTTTTTAAAAAAGAAAAAAAAAGAAAGAAATCCATTATTTATTTTATATATAATCTTTGTTCATTTAAATATAAATCCAACCGTACAAAATATCTACAGAACCATACCAACACAAACGAACTCCATCAATCGTCCACGTGTATTGATGACACGCTTGACGTGTATCCGAGGTCAAGAATTTAGAAGCCCTCGTTATGCATTTTAGATGATACAATATTAATTTTATTAATTTGGGAAAAATATTAATTATTATTATTATTTATTTATAAAAGAGGTGGAAATTGTGGAACGCTCCGTTTTAGTGGCGCGTATTTGTCGGAAGAAAACTGAAAAAGTGAAAAATATTATTGGGAAAATAAAATTCCCAAAGGACCGCTCATTATATCATTCTCGACTATCTGCAGCCATTACATTTTGGTCATTTCCTTTTTCTCTCTCGTTTCTTCTATCGTCTTCTTCTTCTTCTCTGTCAAAAGAATGGAAGTTACGGTTGCAGACAATTAGTGGAAATTCAAGAATCTCAGCGGCTTCAATGATGCAAGGCGGTGAAGGTTCCTTGCTTCTTTCCCTCTCTCCTAGCTTCAGCAGCTACTCTTCCGGAAGATTTGCAGAAATCGCCGCCCGGGTTGTTGAGGAATTCCGGAAAGAATCTGATTCTGATACCGATATTTTCGACTGGAAAAATGACGCCGCGTCTTCCTTCCAACACGGAACTGAACCGGAAGAATTCAATCTAGCACCTATACACGACGGTAATGGTGGAACGGAGTCTGTTGTAGATGAAATCGGAGACGATGAGTTCGAATTTTCTGTCGCTCCTACGGAGCCACAGGCGGTAACGATCTCGGCCGAGGATATCTTCTACAACGGTCAGATTAGACCGATTTATCCGGTTATCAACACGAATCTCCTGTTGAGCAGTTCGATTCTAGACAAGAATCGCAATGTTGACGGCGAGGACGACGACGGAAATTTGAAAAAACCGAAGCCGAAGAGAGTTCATCGTCCATCGCTGGGAAAACTGATGAGCGAAGAGCGCGAGACGAATTCGTGCTCGTCGTCTGAGGCCGACGAGCTTGACGGAGTCCTTCCTGGAACGTTCTGCGTCTGGTCGCCGAAAGAATCGCTCGAAAGATGCAAAAAGAGCAATTCTATGGGCTCGTCGAAGAGATGGAAACTCCGAGACCTTCTATACAGAAGCAACAGTGACGGAAAGGACACCTTCGTGTTTTTAACACCAAGCAAGAGAGTTGAGAAAATCGCCGAGGTCTCAAAGGAAAAGATAGACGAAAAGACCGCCGGAAAAGTAAAATCTAGCAGAGTCGCAGCCGCGGCGGCGGCAACGGCTGCCAATATCACTCCTGCGGCCTCTGACGAAGGACAACACGTAAAGAATCAGTCGAAGGAAGCGGATAGGAAGAGACAATCGATTGCGTACGGACAAGAAAGGGCGGATTTATTGAAGAATGTCAATGGTATGACCAAAAACTCACATCAATTCTGAACAATATTAGGGTTTGAAATAATATTTGATTTGGGGGAAGAAGAGATTAAAACGTAATCTGGAAAAAGAAATTAATTAACAAGTATTTAGGGTGTCGGTGTGCGAAAAATGATCCTTAATTTCGAATAATTAATTTGTTAAACAATCTTTACCAAGTAGAAATAGGCAAAATCTTATGTGTGATTGGTTGTACTGAGTCATAATGTTGTACATTTATTTTCATAATTTTCAATACATATATATATCTCTGAATATGAACTATTTAATTTTGACCTTTGTTCTTGATTCAAACGCTTGAAGAAATGTGACAAAATATTGTGTAGATTAATTGAAAATTACTGAAGATTGGTTTGTAGGATCTGAGTATTGATGAGTAGAGAGAGGCAAAATTGGCGCACCACATGAAAGCGCAGAGAAAATGAGATGTAGGCCCATAATTTCATTGGCAACTTTTTATTATTATTATTTATTATTGTTATTATATCTGAAAGCATTTCCTTCAACTTTACAATTTGTCCCCTTTTTTTAATTTCTTGGTTTCCTTTGATTCCTTATCTTCTTTCTTGGTTAACCAAACATCCACCCACCGTGGGGGGGTCGTTTGTATTGCTTTATTACAAGCATAATCTTCCTTCTGTCTTTCTTTCTTTTTAATTGTGTTTTCTCCCTCTACAAACTTCATTTTTAAGTTTAATGTTTAGATTCTGAGTGAAAATGCTCCTATGAATTGTAATGGCCAAGTTATTAAGTAAAACACTATAATCGGTTACTGTTAGTGGTTGTCGGCGGTGAATGATGATGGTTGTTGTTGGTAGCGGATGGTAGTGGTTGCTACCGATGGTCATCGAGGATGCTATTGTACTAAGATGCTATTGTCCATAGTAGTGACTCTAGTATGAGAATATCTTGATCGTGTTTCTATGTCAACTTGACATATTTTCTAAATTTTGAACTTTAGTGTTTTACTCAAAATAACTTATTTCTTGAACACATTCTTGAGCCGAGTTCAATCCTTACAAATTTTATAAAAAATGTTATTCTTAGAACTAAGTTTTATGAAAAATGTTCTCTCATACTAAGTAAAAAATTTAGGGTTAATATTGAGTATATTAAAGAGGTTTATTAGTTGGTTTATTGAGTTATTGAGTTTAAAATTGAAAATATTGGACTTTCTTTGTACCGCAAGAGTTTTTATTTATTTATTTTAGAAATTTATTTTTTATTAAAAAAAGTAGACATGTTTTTTATTTATTTATTTTAGAAATTTATTTTTTATTAAAAAAAAGTAGACATGTCTAATAATATTCTTTGATAATGTTCTTTTATAAAGCAACTTACATTTTACTCCTAATTCATACTTTTTAGAGTGCTCTAAATCTCCTTAAAATATTGAGGATTATTAAGAGTGAATCCAACGTTCGTTAATTTAGTAGAAAATCATGAATTTATAAGAGAGAAATACTATCTCCCTTCTTGCGATTATGTTTAAAGTGGACAAATATTATACGAATTGTGACAAATATTATACGAATTGTGGAGAGTCGTGATTCATAATATTAGAGTCATGCACTAAATTTAGCTATGTCAAAAAAATCCTCAAATATCGAATATAGAATTGTGAGTCTGGAAAATTGTGAGTCTAGAAGGTGTGTAGTCAAAAGTGATTGAAGTGTCGAACAAAAGATATATTTTGTTCGAGTATAAATTAAAAAAGAAAAAGAAAGGCAATCACAATTATGTTCTTATCGCCAAGATTAGGAGCGGTAATCACAATCATTAATAAAGACAAACACAATAATCCAACAGCAAAAGCGAATCCCGACTTTGGAAAATGGGACGTTAAAGAAGAAGAGAGGATTCCCTTGAAAATTACAGAACGGTGAGCTTTGCAATTGCTAGCAGCCAGAAAAGGGAGTCCAATCAAACAATGGCTGGCGCCGGCAGCCAAAGCTGTGGGCGCCGCCGTCTTCCGCCACAATATAACAGCCCAGTGTATGCTCCAATATCTGTACTAAAAGTTAAAAAAAGTTTTTTGTCTGATTCTGTCCTTTGGGTATTCCAGATCTTCTCAAATAAATATCCAAACCCACCCATGTGCAGAAGCAAGCCCTTTCCCCACTCCAGCCTCACCTGGCCAACAAGGGGAAAAAATAAACACATAGTTTGGCTTATTTAGAATAAGACTAAGACGACCCCTGTATATTTAAGATGTCAAGTATCCATGTGAGAAAAATGTAGCTGTCCCACGTTGTTTGGAATGCATATTAACAAACATGTCAATTCACGTACAGACCCATTACCTAAAATATATGAGCAGCTCTTAAAGAGTGTTCTGTCAATAGACACTCTGATACTTACAATGCTGTAGAATTATACTTACAGTATTTGGGCTTGCTTTGATTGATGGTCAATGTTTTGTAACACCTCGAGGCCACTATTAAATGTTTTTGTAACATCTCGAGGCCACTATTAGCAGATGTTGTCTACTTTGACCCATTGCGTACCGTCGTCAGCCTCACGGTTTTAAAACGCATCTATTAGGAGGAGATTTCCACACTCTTCAAAGAATATTTCGTTCTACTCTCCAACTAACGTGGGATCTCACAATTCACCCCCCTTGGGGGCTAGAGTCATCACTGACACGCCGCTTGGTATCTGGCTATAATACCATTTGTAACAACTCAAGCCCACCATTAGTAGATATTGTCTACTTTAGCTCCTTACATATCGCTGTCAACTTCACGGTTTTAAAATGCGTCTGTTAGGGAAAGATTTCCACAACAGAAGGTACCGAGAGAAGAAGTGGTAGCCAAGGAGAAACCCATGGCCCCTAATTGCCTGGTTATATATTTTGATATATTGCTACCCCAGGATAGGCCATCAATTCAGGAGATGGATATGCAAGTTGCCAAAGGACATACTTGTATTCTTCTAGGGGTGGAGGGATTCCTTTGATATTCTGCTGATTTGAGTTGGGCAATGAATCCTGCATGAGAACTACTATTTGAAGGTATCTCTCCTCTGCCCGTACTCAAATTCAGAAATCTAAGGTTTTCAGATCGGCACACACAAAAGCATCAAAACACTGCCATAGAAAGCACACGAACAAATATAAGCAGCTTACAGTTGAGAGGCGTTATCTACTTACAGAAATATGATTTTCTTTTGGAAGGTCAGTTACCTCCTCTATGAACGCAGAAGGATGAGGCACGGCAGAGGATTTCACTGCACACATAAATATTGCTCTATGACATGAAGTTCAATGAAAATAAAAGAGAATCCCTAGAATCTCCAACTTCAACAGGAATTTATACTGGACAGGTGCCTTAATTATTAAAGCCACTCCAGCACCTGAAATCGACGGCAGTTCAAAGGCGCAGTGGGTGCAGAAGCTGAAGGCTGTAAAGTTTGAGTTGAAGCTACTTAAATCGCAATCCATGGCACACGAAGATTTGGATGAAACAATCAAGCATATATGAAATGATAGAATAAACCCTAATCGCTTAATCTATCTCTTCCTTCGTAAGGCCATTTTGCTCAATAAGAGATTTTCTAAGATTGGCAGGAGAGTCGCTGCCATTGCCATAAAATTCCTCCACTAATAACAAAGAACAGTAGAAACTAGATGCTTCAATAGACAATCACAACACCAAGAAAGAAAAAGAAAATCAATCTTATAAAAATGCAAGAGATCTGCCGACCTGAATTCCGCACATTCTCGGCCGTCATCGGAAGAGCTCCACCTCCGATAATCACAGACGCAGATGGCAGAACCGACGGAATTAAGGATTCAAGCAAATAAACAGAGAGATAAGAATTTCGAACACCGCAAATCCCTCGCTAAATTACTTCCAGTGTTCCCCGCCAAATCTTCATGGGCCCACCACCACGATATTGGGCCGAGCCTCATTAATTTCAAGGCCCATTAAAAAAAAAAGTAAAAACATGATGACAGCTGTGGGATTTGAACCCGCGCCCTTTCGGACCAGAGCCTAAATCTGGCGCCTTAGACCACTCGGCCAAACTGTCAATTTGTTAGCGGTTTTCTTTTTAATTTTAATAAACCATAAAAAAAAACAATTCTTTTAAAACACAAAAATCCATAAAACTTGATTTAATTAAAACCCTAAGAATTTCAACAAGGAGCTGTACTTGACAATCATACAAGATTCAAGATGATGAATTCCTAGGCTTCAACGAAGCACACAATTGTTCTGTAATACATTTTGGTAAGCACTGTAATGGAGTATTTCTAGATGAAGGGACGTAATGACAGAAAAACTCTGGATCTTCATTGTAAGACTCCATATAAGCTTCCAAAATCGAAACAATCTCGTCGAAATGCGGTCGCTTGTTGGGATTTTTCGACCAGCATCTCTTGATCAGATGACGAAACGCTTCCGGGCAAGCTGAAGGCAGAGGTGGTCTTGCATTCTGTAGAGCACAGACATGATCCAAATCAGTTACAGAACACACGAACGAAATAGATATCAACACGAACGAAATAGATATCAACACGAACAAAATAGATATCAACACGAACAAAATAGGTATCAACGGAGCTAAAACTAGAGAAGTGATTGTTACCTTCTGGCAGACTGCAAATGCTGCCTGTTCAGGAGTCATGTTATCAAATGGTGTCAATGCAGTTAAGAGCTCCCACAAGACAATGCCAAAGCTATAAACATCAACTTTCTTAGTATGGTGTTTTTCTTTGATCATTTCCGGTGCCATCCATCGATATGTTCCGGTGAATCCCTTTGTGCTTCCGCATTGAGATTCCAAGCATGAGATACCGAAATCGGCTACCTTAATGCACATATCTTCACCAAGTAAAAGGTTTTCTGATTTGAGATCTCTGTGGAGTATTCCCTGAGAATGAAGATACTGCATCCCGCGCGAGATCTCGAGTGCTAGTTTCAGAACCAAGTTCAGCGGAACCGAATGTGGCTCCTGTTGATGCAGATACTTTCTTAACGAGCCCCCCGCCATATACTCGGTGATTATGCAAAAAACTGGAGGTTTCTTGCAAGCTGCAATGAACTGTTTCCAGTAAAAGAAATCTCATCAAGTGTTCTTTGTAATATGCAGGTCACAAACAGCACAAGGAGATCAATCTTATTCAATCAAGAATCAAAATTACATAAAAGTCCTAAGAAATGAACATAAACAGAAGCCATTGCATCAAAATCTCATCAGTGATGAGATGCTAAAAGCTAAGGCATTGCATCAAAATTTATAGAACAAATGAAGTTATCAGAACCCAAATTCAGTGCATCAGACAACAAAAGAAACACAGACCCACAAGAAATGGGTATCAAGTAATGAAACATACAGTGATGATATTGGGATGTCTCAATCGAAACAGCAATGCCACCTCTGAAATGAACTGATTTTCAAGAAAGTTAGCCAAGTTTTCATCCTCCTCAGGCTGGCTTATCAGCTTAATTGCAACATCCCTTTGCTTATAAACGCCTCTGTAAATCCTGCTGTGCCTTCCAGTAGCAAGTTTGAAGCCAATGAACAACTGAGACATGTCTGCACTCCATTCCTCTTCTCCCTCTCCCTTTATCTCTGCTCCTGAAGACACCAAGTACTTAGACCACGACACAGCCCGCTCGTACTCTCCAAGGGAAAGCCTCCTCCCAGGCTTCCCATTGATGGAAATTGGCTTGAACCAGCTCAAATTCCTCATGGGGTGTCCCCAAATTTCATCAATATCCTCAATCTCATCAATGTACACTCTAAATCGAGTCGAAATTTGTGTAAATCAATGGATCTATAGCTGAAAAAAAACAGAAACTAACTACATTTTCCCTTTCCAATGCTCATGCAAGAAAGAAACAAGACAAAGAAAGTCATCCCAGCAAAACAAAAGGAAAACTCCCTTCAAACTCACACATCAGATACAGACAGAACCAGATTTCGTTGAAATTAGACACACCCATATACATATAATCATCTAAATCTACAACACAGCGGAAGAAAACAACAAAAGGGTCATTTCTTTCAAACTCAAGAACACCAAATTGGGAGGTGAAACAGAGAGAAATGGAAAAAAAGAAGAAGATGGGAAGTTTAGAGGTAAAGGGGAAGGAGGAAGGGGGGGAAAAAAAAAAAAAAGGGGGTCGGTTGAGATGTAGTTGTTGTTTCTGGTGATGCAGTGAAAGCATATGAGGAAGAGCTGGCGGGTTTCTCTCTGTCTGTCTGTACGTCTTGTCTCTGTGTTGTGGCAAAGCCAAAGCTAATACCAATGGCCTTTGGGTTATGCCCCTTTACATTCATAACGTGTAAAGATCCTCATCTTAGGGGACACCCCGGGTCCTCTTTGATTATGAACCCAACCCTTTTCATCTTCCCCCTTTTCACCCCTTACCTTCTTCTTTTTTTCCATTTTGCCCCTCCCCCTCACCCCATAAGCACAAAAAATCATGGGAAGAACAGAAAATGGGAGACGGGGGTAAAAAAAAGAGAAAGGGTTAGGTAAAGGAACAGAACCAGAAGAAAACGACGAGGACGACGACGAAGAAGAAGAAGAAGACGAGGGCGGGTAAGGGTTCGGGTGTGGAGCCCACATCACAGGGAAGGATCCGTGGGCTTGTCGGACAAAGCCGTATGGTCCTCTTCCGTATACGGCCTTTCTCTCTCCTCCCTTCGCACGTGTTTCTCTCTCTAGATTTACAACCTATTTACCGTAATCGATACGTGTTATTATCCCCCATCATTATTTTATTATTATTTATTTGTTTGTTTATTTATTAATCACCACCTCCAAAAAAGTTGCCCTGGGTCCCTTAAATCTCTGTCTTCAGTAAATCTAATAATTTTAAATAATATAAATTACTTCACATTTTTATTTAATATCATTATGTTTGAAAGGAGTATAATTTTTATTAAATTATTAATTATTAAAAACATAAATTCTGTTAAGATTCTTATTTAGATTCTTATCTCAATTATTTTTTTACTCTCAGTATTATCCATAATTTATTAAAAATAAATTTTTTTAAAAATATTTCAATTTGAGTTTAGAGCTTTTATTTAAAAAATATAATATTTCAAATTAAATTGAATTAGAATTAAAAAAAGAAAAAAAAAGAGTTAAAATTGGACCTATAAAAGGTGGGTCCCACGCTTCCCGTAGAAAGAAAGGACGGTGTTTTGTTTTCTGACTGTTCCAAAATAGTTGTCCGTACATTATAGTGGAATCTTTTTTCCTTTGTCCTCTCATTTTAATTTTATTTAGTTAATTAAAAGTTTAATAAATTTCTATATTTTAAAATACATGAAATTTTAATTTTTTTTAAAAAACCTCTATTATTAATTATTGAAATATTAAAAAAAATTAATTAAAAAAGGGAAGTTCAAAGCTTTAGTATACATAAACATTAATTAATTTAAATTCTACTTACACGGTAATATTATATTCCAAAACTATATTATTTAAAATAATTTATAAATCAAATTAATTTAATATTTTTTGAATAATAGAGATATTGAGTTGTAATTAATATTGGAAAGAGAAAAATAATTGATTTTTTATTTTATTTTATGGATATGATCAGTCCTTTATTGTTAAGAGTATTTAATTAATACATATAAAATCAAGGATTAGATTGACATCCCAAAGTTGACAGCATAATAAAATAATGCTTTTAAAAAAGAGTTTAGGATCTCAATAATTTTAAGGTTCAATCATTATCTCTATAAATAATAATTTATTTATTTATTTAACTCCCACCCTACATTATCAAAATAATTTGATTTGTATTAACCAACAAACCAATCTTCATCCGTTTATTTAATTAGAAACATATGATAAAATAAATACAATATGATGTTTAATAAGATTATGCACATGCATGAGATTAAATCATATAATTATTTAATGAGATTATGAGAATAAAATATTTTATTTTAACCTATGCTTAGAAATATTATATCATAATTTTTAATAAGCTTTAATGTTTATGATTAATGTCACATATTTTTCACATTGAAAGAAGAATATATATATATATAATATTTGTCAAGTAGTGAGGAATCTGTAGGATCCAGGAGGCATGAACATGGGCTAATGGAGGAAGCCCACGTGGACTCTTGTTCCTCCATGGCCTGGTTTTTAGGTGTAGATGTCAGTGAATTTGGTTTATCAGTGGTGAATGAGGGGAGAAAGTTTTAGGGGGCTGAGCAATTCTGGTTAAGATGGTTCAAAATGGGTGAGCTTCCGTTCTCCATGGCATCTAAGGTCGTGTCGGTATAGAGGCCTGCTGTGTTTTCGGTATGAGATGCGTGGTGGCTCGGAGCCGATCTTGACAGACTTGAAGGTTGGCTTGTTACGAAAGCAATGGCAGATGTTTGTTCTGTGTCTGAATGTAGGTTTGATAGAGCGCTGAGGTCGAGATTTGGGAAGACGGAGGAGCGACATCGAGGACATTTAACGTTCAGACGAAGCCACTCGTCGATACATTCGACGTGGAAATTGTGAGCACATGGCATACCACGAACCTGCATAAAGGAGAAAATGAATGTGAAGAGGGTATGTGAACATTTTAAAGATGAATGATGAAATATGAAGCAGAGAGTTTACCTCATTCCCTACACGGAACTCTTCAAGGCAAATGGGGCATTCACTGCAATCTGTTGGCACAGCCTTTAGCCTGAACTTTGGAAGGTCCTGGATGAGAGCTTCCACAGCTTCCCTCTGCACATAAATAGCCCGTTTCTAAGAACTCCATGCCCACCACTATTAAACCACTGGTTCATAATCGTGAGATCCCACATGGATTGGAGAGGGGAACGAGTGCCAACGAGAACGCTGGGCCCTGAAGGGAGTGGACTGTGAGATCCTACATCAGATGGGGAGGAAAACGAAGCATTCTTTATAAGGGTGTGGAAACCTCTCCCTAGTAAAGGTGTTCTAAAAAACTTGAGGGGAAGCCTAAAAGAGAAATTCCAAAAAGAACAATATCTGCTACTGGGCTTGAGCTGTTACAAATGGCCTCAGAGCCAAACACCAGACAATGTGCCAACGAGGAGACTGAGTCTTGAAAGGGGGTGGATACGAGGCGGTGTGCTAGAAGGACGTTGGGTCCCGAAGGGGGATGGACTGTGAGATCCCACATTGATTGGAGAGGAGAACGAAACATTCTTTATAAGGGTGTGGAAACCTTTCCCTAACAGACGCATTTTAAAAACCTTGAGGGGAAGCTCGAAAGGGAAAACCCAAAAAAGACAATATATGTTAGCAGTGAGCATAGGTTGTTACAATAAGAGCACAGATTTCCTCCCACTTTACTCGTGCATAATCCCCTTAACATACTATTCACAAGATAACGATTATAAACACTGATAGACAAGTGGCATGACTCAAATACACGTTATTACAACAGATCCATAGCCAAGGGCAGAAAGTTTCTATACACATCGATTTAAGCTTCAGACGTTTACCTGAGCCGAGGTTAAGAACAACCCGGGATGGTACCCAGTAGCATCTTGGCCAATGCCTCGTGTTTCCAATCCTGCAGCTTCAAATGCCCAATCAGGAACTCTAATCATATCAACCAGTACCTAGTATGCAGAACAATGCTAATCAATCCAATGTTTGATGATTCTAAACAGATACTCAAGAGTAAAAGGGTTATAATAACAAACAGTTCCAAGCTTACCCCATATTCCGATACCGGTATGCCTTGTTGCGCACGGAACAAGTGAGCTTGTCGACGCGCTAACCACTGCATAAAACGGTTTAAGAAGCGACAAGAAAACCGGTTAGTATCAAATAAAAGAACGGAGAAGTAGACAGAAACTGATAAACCTTTCCAATTGACAAGCAGGCAACGCAAAGGAGGGCACAGTAGCTGAATAGCAACCAAATGAGGAAGCCCCATTTCTGTCCTTCTTCAGGCAGCTGCACGCATGAACAACACGAACTAAATAATCAAAGCTTGTAAACACATGATTTAGGCAATGTTAAGGAACAATATAGCTTACACAATCTTTAGCATCTCTAAACCAGAGAGTCCCAATTACAGTCCACGCACATAGAAAGGGGTACAGCAATAGAGATAGAATAGAAAGAACCACAACTCGTCCACAGAATCGAGCATATCGCTGCTGCCATCCGAAATCTCTAACGAAATTTAAATTCAACAGTAAGAACAAGACACCCCTTATGAATCTGAGGAACTTAGGAGCTTCCCCAGAAGTAGTGAGTATAAGAAGAGAAGGTCTTACAATCCCATTCCAGCTGAAAGTGCATTATCTATGAACAGCAGAAGGCGAAAAGCAAACACAGAGGTATAATCAACCTGAATGAAGAAAGTGTTGTGTAATGCATAGCCACCAGAAGCAAGCAAGAAATCATGAATATATATGTGTTAAGACACATACCACGATCCATATGTGCAAAGGATATCTACAGGTATTGTACCTTCTCCAATTGATACTCACAATGATTCTAACAAGCAAAAGAGTTAAAGAAAAACAAGACATAAAATGGGTCTATTCCTGGTGTGTAATCATTTGAGTAAACAATATTGTCACAATCGCACTCTTACAATGTCATGATCTGATAGAGAGTGACAAAGGATACATACTAGTAGCAAGCATTGACAAGAAGAACCCATCGTACCTGAAAAATCCGGAAATACTGAAGCAAGTTAAAAACCATCGATATGGGTAAAGAAGGGAAGAGATTTACCATTTGAAATCGACTCCTCGAATGGCCATGCCCAAGAACTCAACAAGAACACCCAAGAACTAAACAAGAACACCCAAGAACACTCGGAGGTGGAGCTGCCGACAATGGCTAAAGGGTCGCCATGGGAGGGAAGGAAAAGGATTGAAGAAGCACAAGGGAAAGGGAAATCAAAGAAGAAGTGGTTTTGGGCAGAAATTGTTTGTGGGGTTGAATGATTGAAGAACAGAGAGATGGAAAAGGAGAAGGAATTGAAGAAGGGGAAGAAGAAGCATAGAGAGGGATGGCGTTGGGCTATGGGGGTGAGCACGCAGAGCAGTTATCTGATATCTCTGCAGCGTTGCTTGTACAACTGTAAAGCGTAATGACTGCCATTTCAGAGCATAATTGTAACCACAACCCTGCAAATTCAAATCTCTACCCATTAAAGTAAGTATGCAACTTTTCTTTAAAAAGAAAGTAATTTCAAATTAAACAACTTTTCCTCTCACCATTTTTGGTTTTGGTTTGGAAATCTTAGTTAAACCCAAAATTTGAACAAATCTCGTGTTGGGTGTGGGGTCACAAACAACAACTTTTCCTCTCACCAATGGGATTATGAGAAGAAGAAATCACAAGAACACTGAAATCTATACCACTTGAACTAATGATATCTTAGGATCAAATTGAATAATGATCCATATGAGTAGTAATGAAAAGGAAGAGTAAAGAAATAAAATGATGCATGCAAACTTAGCTATCAAAATCAGTCAGCAGTGGTCCAGCTTGACCTGAAGAGGGCAATGAATGCTAGTTATTTAGAGGACAGGTGCGGTGTGAGTGTGAGATATTATAGCACAACCAAAAAATAATTGACAGTGATGCACCAAAGGAATTATTTCTATGATTTTTAACCTTAATGTCTCAAAATAAACCTATTTCTCCACCATCTACCTACCACTTCTCAACATTTTTTAATATATTCGATGCACGTTTATAGAAATCTTGCACATTGTTTTTATAAAATTAGTGAGCGCATTAGTGAGAATCAATTTAGGTAAAATTGTATCGGCCCAAGCACACCCTTTATAAAAATGGTTCGTTGTCTTTCAAGGTCCAGTGCCCTCGTTGACACACTGCCTCGTGACCACGTAGCCCAGTGTCTGGCTCTTGTACCATCTGTAATGGCCCTAGTCTCGAAAGAGATGCAACATTAAGAACTATTCGTAGAAGCGGTATACTCTTAAGTTTCATACGGAATGTAACCCCTATGTCACATTAGGCCCCTAAAGTGTGTAAAAATAACCATCGAAGAGAAACTTCAAGGAGATGACAATGAACAACTGCATTTCAAGGGATGTAATATATACAAGAAAGCTATGTCAGTTACAATTAGGAGGGTTTAAACATTTATAAACAGCTGAAGCTGGTTGCTTATAGGAAGGGATACTACTTATATCAACAAAGCGAACCTCCCCGGGCGCAAAGGAAAGATCATGGTGCCTGAATTCAAGAACAAAAGAAGCTTAACTTGTCAATGATTCAAATAACACAATGGCAAGATGATGCTTATGAGAGCAACATTTCAGATGTGCAGCTACCTTCGCAAGTCAAGGCCGATTAAACCAGCTTGAAGAACTGTCAAATTATCAGAATCTGGCGACACAATGATGATAGTATCACCAGAGTACTGCGTTTCGAGAATCGACATCAGTTGCGTTACACGAACGAACACATCAGATACGCTCTCGTTCGGGGTTCCATCATCAATTGGAGGAGGTTTGATCCGTGAAGAGATGGTATCTGAAGCATATACCTGTTGTTTTCAAACACAATTCATAAGAACAATCAAACAATTCACTGTCTCTGGACAGAAACTTCAAGCAAATCATTGCTTTCAAACAATCATACTTCTGAAACAGACTCCAATCTCTTGCCTTCATAAGCTCCAAGCCCACGGGCATCAAGAAAACTATATTCAGGAACTATATAACTGAAACCAACAAAAACATCTGATTCCATGGCGGCAAGAACTTGAACATTCAAGACAAAGAGCATTGAATACCTTCGATTCACACCATTAACTGATGCAATAATCTCAGCTGCTTGATAAGCTCTCTGCGTAATAGAGGGCCAAATCCAGCAGCCATTGTCACAAGCCCCCATTTCTTTCAATTTGAAAGCCGCTTTAACAGTTTGCTTCTTCCCTACCTCAGACAATCCGCTATCAACTGATGTTTTTGCAACTGGGTTTGTGTTAATTATACCAAAGCTATCGAATTCTGATTCCCCTGCCCTCACCAGAAAGTACCTTCTCAAACCCGAATTAACATTAGAAACAAAACCCCTTTATCGTCCTCCAAATGCGAAATAAAACGAAGAAAAAATCTGGGTTAGTGAAGTTACCGATTGACGAGACGAACAGGGGGCATCTGGAACAGACCGCGAGCTTCAGCAATAGGAAGAGCAACAAAATCAGAAGAACATGGCAGAGAGAAATCGATGAAAGAAGGGGTAGAGACAGAGACCAGAGTGGTAATCAGATGGCGGCGGTTGAAAGATGCTTGAGAGGACGCGACAGGCTTCAATGGAGGCTGAAGCAAGCGTGGGCAGGTAAGGGCTGCAATGGAAACGGAGGACGATGCGTACATTTTAGCCGGCGGCGACGGCGTGTTGGTCGAAAATCGTCGATGGAGGTTTGTTCATTCTCAGCCTTATCTTTCATTTTCGTTAGATGTTTGAAAATCAGAAGATCAATGGTCAATTCCACCGCATTAGGAACATAAAAATCCTTACAAATTAAATAAATTAACCACAAAAATCCTCCCTTTTTAAGAACTGTCGGCTGCTAAGATATTTTTTCAAATTAACAAATTTATAGTTCAAACATCTGCATTTCAAGTCACTATGACTTCACTCCCACGACACCCGAGTCACTATGAGTTCTGAGTTCACTCCCACCCCCGACACCGGAGTGTTATGAGTTCTGAGTTCACTCCCACCCCCGACACCGGAGTGTTATGAGTTCTGAGTTCACTCCCACCCCCGACACCGGAGTGTTATGAGTTCTGAGTTCACTCCCACCCCATTTGCTTCTCTTAGATGGAAGTTTTATTTTTCCAGAATGTATCCTAATTTTTTGCTTAATTTCTTCTGATGATCGATTCAACCTCTGATCAAAAAGATATACCTGGTTATATTTCATCTCTTCAACAAGTTTAATAACGAGCGTAACGGCCCTATTGTTTCGATGGAGAGTAGAACTATGATTAGCTTTTCGAAAATTTTCCATACGACACCCGAGTGTTATGAGGTCACTCCCACCCCCCAACACCCGAGTCACGAGGGTCATGTCCTACACCCGAGCTAGGACAATGTATAAAATGCAAAAGACCATAGAGCAAAATTGAAGTTGAAGCTGAAATGAATATCCAATAAAGAATATGGGAAAGAATTTGAAGTACACAGCAACAAAAAGAATGAATGCAATGAATTAGATAACACCAAGTTATTTAGCTGAGCCTTCAACCAAGCTCCAGAAAGGAAGTAAGGAGTCTGCAGACGACATGTCGATGCCCAAAAATCTATCCACCTCCCAAACTACACAGTCATTCGAACCTCTGACCTCTTCCACCTCCAAAACTACACATCTGACATTTGAACCTCCGCCCTCCTCGTACTCGACGTGTCATCATTGTCCCAATTTGTTGTTCTGTAATAAGTTGCATACAGAATCAACTGGATCAACCCAGAAAGAGCTCCCAAACTGTTTGGAATCTGCAAAAAGAAACAAAAAAGTTCATAATACCAACGTCTTGATCTGATACCATGTCGACAGGTTCGAGGCTTACCAAGACGTTCGGATCGAACTTAAGAAGAGCGTAAATGGCCCATACGATACCATTACAGAAGTTCGCGAGAGAGAGAGTAAACGGCATGTACTTAACACTCTTCGTTTTGATCACAAGTCGCTGAAACGAAACACGCAATCAAATCGAACGTATAATTAAGATGTTCGTTGTAATATAATTGTAACATAACGAACGACGATGAACGGAGAGGTACCATGACGGTCAACGGAGAAGTATACATGCCAATGTTGAAGATAATGCATAAAATACCAACAAAGTAACTTCTACTTATGGTGGTGTGGAAAACGAGAAGCGTAATCAGGACGACAGTGGCGAAGAAGATCGATTCGATGAGAAGAACGATCAACATCTTCCTCTAAAAATTTTCAAGAAAACAAGTTAGTTCGATTTCGAAACCGGGACGAAAAGAGAAACAATAAGAAATCTGTCTCGACTTACTCTCTTGATCCATGGAGAGTAAATAAAGAAGATGGAAACGTAGGCGAGCTCGATGAAGAAACCGATCCCGTTGATGGTAACGACGAGGATGCTGTCGGGATGAACGAAGGGCATTCCATAGAACACCCACATGGCGCAGTTGAGGATTGTGGCCAAGTAAGGGTCAGGCTTGAAATCCTCCACGGCCTTGCGCTTCACAATCTGAGTGAAAGTGGGGCTGCAGGGTTTTGGTTGATATCAAGATTTAGCAATGAAAAAATGCAACTTTTGAGAAATAAAGAGAGATTAGAAGCTTACATTGGTGACATAAATAACCCAAAAGATATGACATTTCCTGAGAAAATACATAAAATAAACAGAGCGATCAAGTTGGTGCTATAATTTCATATGGATTGATGAATTTTGAATAGAGTTGTTACCTATAATGCCAATGACAGTTCTTGCTGCGGCTGTACTCACCATTGTGACGAAAAACAAAGCAAGTTGTGTTTATTATTTATGGTTCTTCTGCTTACCAGTTATGAGAGTGTTACATAGAACAGTGAAGGAATCACATGAACAAGGAAGGAAAAGATGCAACTTTTTGTAACTTTGATGGGTTTTTTTCTCTTTTATTTGGTGGGTTTTGTTTGAGGAACAGAATTGCTTCAAAGTGATGGTGTTTGTGGGGTTTATATATGAATTGTGTGGGAAGAGAGTGAAGAAAAAGGATAAATTTGGGTGGTTGAATTTGAATGGGTTATGAGCTATTATGAAGTTTGTGAGTGATTATGATTGACTCAAGACTAAGTCAGTTTTTGGCATCTTAACCATTTTCAATCGGATTTTATGGATTAAATTGATATTTAGTTTCTAATTTTAAATTTTTTTTAGTATTTGGATATGGTTTAGATTTAAATGGTTTAATTAAACACTTTTTCAAAAATCAATCAATATCAAATAACTCTTTAAATTTCTTTTATATTTTTTTTAGAAAAATTTTATTTTTGGGTTTAGGGTAAGAGGCCAGCATTACTATTGATAACAGCTCAAGTTTACTGCTAGAAAACATTGTCCGCATCTCTGATACCATTTTTAAAAGCTCGCCGATAACATGTAAGTAAGGTGGATTTATTATTTTAAACTGGATTTATGTACCGACCACATGTAAATAGGTAGATTTATGTACAGTTATTTTAAACTGGATTTATGTACGGTTATTGTGGGAAGAGCTTTGACAATAGAAGGGAAAGGGGTTTGGAGAAGTAATAATGGTAAGATTTAGATTTGGCAATCTCGCAACTTTAGTAGCCAAGTGTTCGCACATAAGGGCAGTTTCAGATATTGCACTAAGAAAGACTTCTGCCTTTGCTAAAGGTCAGGTTTTCACTCAATTTCTTTCCAATTCAAAAAGAGGAGCAAGCAACACCGAAAGAGGAGCAAGCAACACCAGACTTTTCAAGCGTATCGTGCAGGAGCTCGAAAGCTGCGAAAAAAGTAGAGCTGTGAAATGGCTGTGGAAGTGTTCAGCGAAGAAGGGGAAGGGGTTAGGAGAAGTAATAATGGTAATGATTTAGATTTGGAGAAGCTTCCTTGTTATGAATACAAAAATGGGTGAAAACAGAGTGATTTGGAATGTGTGGTTTGTTTGGAGAGTTTCAAAATGGGAAACATGCAGATTGCTGCCCAATTGCAGCCATATCTTCCATGTTCGTTGCGTCGATTCTTGGCTTTTGAAGACACCCATTTGCCCCATTTGCAGAACTTCTGCTGCTCTTCCAAAAATTGCCTTGGTTTCTGCAGACAGGAGGTGAAATTAATTGACTTTATTGAGAGAGAGGGTGGGTGTTCTACAGCTGACGAGTGACAGCCGGTAAGTATTATGCCGCCGGGAGAGGTGGCCGGGAGGAAGTTGAAGTTCAGAGGAAGCGCCGCCGTCAGTAAGTGGCTTGGAAATGGTTACTGTACAGAATTTGGGAAAGAGGAGGGCCTAAGAAGAAGACGAAGTGGGGAAAGATAGAATTTTTTTATACTATGAAGGTATGCAAATAAAGACTGAAATTTACACAACTTGGTAAAAATATGAAGGAATATCATTTTTTTGTAATCACCCAACTTCCTCCTACTCTAGTGACTAGTCGGGCAATTTGTCAACATTCCAACAACTACCAACTCTTTCAAACATTTTTGACATTCCAACAACATTTCGGACATCTATTACTCACAATGTTGATAATCTCGATGGATTCATGGTCCGTGACGACAACGACGACGACAACAGCGACAAAAGAACACACTGTTTTCTTCGGTGCCAAAGGTTTCGACGATTTTCCAATTATCTGATCTGAAAAGGTAACAGTGTTTTAGGCTTCTAAGCATGTTCATAATACCATGATTTACAAGGATAGAAGACGTCGTAATCCCACCTTGGGGTCAAAAGACCTAGTTAACATAAGATCTTAGAAGATAAGAAACATACAAGACAACAAAAAAATCTTCTCATTTCTTCTCGGTGTTGCTCTCCAATTCTCTCCGAAGCTGCAAGGAGAAGTCGTCATTGACATCATCGTCATCCCAGTCGTCTTCCCACTGCTGTGTAATTTCCTTCCCTTCTTCTTTGACTTCCCATTCTGCAGTTCATATGATCATTCATAAAAAATGTCTATCAATCCCATAAAGAACAACTATACAGATATCATAGCGTGTCATGGCGTTCTCCCATATCTATGATCACTCAGAAACTAACTGCCAGAAACAATAAAAAGAAAACATGTGCCCCCCACCATCTCTCTCTCTCTCTAACAGTTTCATCTTTAAGTGGCAAAGATGCTAAGGAAATAATCCATTCATGTTAGCGTGCTAATACTCACTTCAAGAGCTCAAGACATACAAAAATTCAGATTCTGACAGAAGAGACAAGATATCAGCTAGAGTGTAAACATATCAACAGAAAACCACAGGACTCTAATCTCCTTCCTCAAAGCACTGTTGCATTGCTCATGGGAGGATTCAAATGAAGCAGCAGAGCATACTTCTTCACTCCCACCTGCAAAAGTGGGGGCCTACTTAACAAAAACTTCTACTTTCCCTTGAAGGCAGATCAAGGTCAATGCACATCCACCAATTGATTTACAGAAATTCAAAATGGTTGAACTGCAAAAGGATTTTGCCAACCATCCCACCAAGATCATCCCTTCAATTTTCTAATATACAACTAAAACTCCTAGTATTCTTGAGCACACAGTAATAAATAAAAACTTCTCAATTTGTGTGTATCATCCCAAATACCAGAAAAATTTTAATGCAGATAAAGGCTTCCCATGGACTTCCCGGATCCTAACAGTAGAATGTTAACCTCGGACATGGAAAGGATATTCCACTAAAGCCAAAAGGCATGTAATTCTGACCATTTTTTTTCTCTCTTACTAAAAGTTCTTTTTATTGATGATTATTATTAGTGTAATTGTATAGTATTACAACTCCAGCTCATTACGATTCTAATTGTATCAGATGGAAATGATATAAAATATTGGTTATAGATGAACAAGAAATATTTAGGGTGTGCTGATCCAAATTAGAGAATGCTATTATTCCTATAGCAGTTATCAGTTATTGGCAAGTCGGTAACAGGACTACGCAAACCCTTATTGCATTCCCATTCTTTTGGCTGGAACATCAAACAAGTAATTGCACATCGGCCAGCCATAAATAAGGAGAGGATTTCAAGCTGTACCTTCATTAATCTCAAACTCTTCGAACTCATCATCATCTTCAAAGAGGTCAATCTTAACTTCCTCAGTCGCCGTTTTGGTTTCAGTTGCCATCACAAAGTTTGAACTGCCTACGGATGTATTATTCAAAAAAATCAGCAATAATCACATTAATAAGTAAAAAAAAATTACAAACCAGAAGCAAAACTATGCTCCCCATGAGGATTAATTTGATTTACGGCGAGACGGAAATGTAATAAGATGCCTCATTATAAATGAGGAATTTATTATTGAATTTAGAATTAAATAACAAAGTACAATATAGTGAAACCCTAACTTTTCCAATCTAAGATGCCAATCACACAAGAAACCAATAGTACAAAAAAAAAAAAAAAAAAAAAAAAAAAAAAAAAAAAAAAAAA